AGCCCCTTCTGTCTCCTCTGTGAACACTTCTTTAAATCTCTTGTTGAATTCCTTACATACTTCATGGTCATTTCTTGCTGTCTCTCCTCCTTCCTTCCTTAGCCTGATTACCTGGTCCTTGACTGTTGTTTTCTTCCTGATGTAGCTGTATAACAGCTTCGGGTCAGATTTGGCTTTCGCTGCTATGTCATTTTCATACAGTCGTTGGGCCTCCCTTCTTATCTGTGCATATTCATTTCTGGCTCTCCGACTGCTCTCCTTATTCTCCTGGGTCCTTTGCCTTCTATATTTCTTCCATTCCCTAGCACACTTGGTTTTTGCCTCCATGCACCTTTGGGTGAACCAAGAGCTCATCCTGGCTTTTTCATTAATCCTCTTACCCTTGGGTACAAACCTCTCCATAGCCTCCTTGCACATTGTTGCTACATATTCCATCATCTCATTAACTGGCTTCCCTGCCAGTTCTCTGTCCCACTGAGCCCCATTCAGGAAGTTCCTCATTCCTGTGTAGTCCCCTTTCTTGTAGTTTGGCTTCATTCGTTATAGCCTTCCTGCTTCCCCCTCCACTTGTGGCTCTACTCTGTATTCGAAGCTTAAAACCAAATGATCGTTAGCCCCTATGGGTCTTTCATATGTGATGTCCTCAATATCTGCACTACTCAAGGTGAATACTAGGTCTAGTCTTGCTGGGTCATCCTCTCCTCTCACTCTTGTAGTGTCCTTTATGTGTTGGTACATGAAGTTTTCCAGTACCACCTCCATCATCTTAGCCCTCCATGTGTCTTGGCCCCCATGTGGCTCCAAGTTCTCCCAATCGATCTCCTTGTGGTTAAAGTCACCCATGATCAGGAGCTTTGCCCTGCATGCATGAGCTCTTCTTGCCGATGCAGCCAGTGTGTCAACCATCGCTCTATTGGTCTCATCATACTCTTGCCTTGGCCTCCTGCTGTTCTGTGATTGGTTGTACATCACTGCAATTACAACTTTGGGACCTCCAGAGTGAAGCATTCCCGCTATGTATTCGCTTGCTTCTCTGCTGTCTCCTCTCTCCTCTCTCCAGCTCGTCAAAATTCCATCGGTTTTTGATCAGCAGTGCCACTCCTCCACCCCCTCTGTTCCCTCTGTCTTTCCTCAGGATCTGGTATCCCATTGGAAAGATGGCATCTGTTATCATACCTGTTAGCTTGATTTCTGTGAGAGTTATGATGTCCGGTGATGCCTCTTTGACTCTTTCGTGCCACTCCTCCCACTTATTTTTTATTCCATCAGCGTTTGTGTACCATACCTTCAGTTTCCTTTCCAACACTGTGGTTTGGGGGGCCTGTGAGGGTGGGAGACCTGGTAACATACTGTGGGATTCTATAGCTGGGTATTGGGTGGAAGCTGTGAGTGTGGATTGTAGTTTGTGTTGGGATGGTGTGATAGGTTGTGGGGTTCTGAGGATAGTTCTGTGTGTGCTTGGCCTTGCTGCTCTGTTCTGCTCTGATTGACCTCTGCTGGTTCCATCCTTGTCTCCTTTCCTAGCTCCTTTCTCTTTTTTGTCCTCTCCCTCAGCTGATGTCATTCTGTTTGTGTTCTGTCTTTGTCTAGGAGCACCCTCTTGCACTCTTCCAAGTAGTTCAACCATGGTTTCTCTTGGAGGATCCTGTTCCACACTGTTTCTGTCCTGAGAATCAGCTTGATTGGTCGTTTTCTCCCATTCAAGTACCCACCTATTCTCTGAAAATTTACAATGTCGTCCATGTCTTCTTCACCTATTTCCTTGATGATGTTCTCAATCTTCTTTCTTTCTGCCTGCCATCTTTCAGTGCGCGTCCTTTCCTCTATCTCCTGAAGCCCATGGATAAACACTGATTTTTGCCCTTTCCTCCTCCTATTGCCTCTCCCTCTGTGACTCTGGTTCCTGTCTGTACGTGGTCATTTTCTCCCTTGTTTTTTCCAGTGGCTCTAGTTAGAATGGTTGTGCCTCTGCTTTTGACCTATCACTCTCTCCACATGCACCCAGCTGCTCTCCCCTTTCACTCCTTGGCCCTTCTTGGCAGGTTGATATGGCTTTAGTATAATTCATATCTCCTTCCTTCCTGTTCGGCTTCTCAGCTTCATATGCTGTGTCATCTCTGGTCAATGTCCTTGTAACTTGCTTCAGCCTGTTTACCTCATCTTCTGGCTACTGCTGTTTCGACTTGTGCCTCCCAATTCTTCTTCTCCTTCTCCAACCTCTTTTCTAATTTCACAGAAAGTGTGTGCGTGTGTGTGTATGTGTGTGCGTGTATGTGTTCATGTTTGTGTGTGTGTGTGTGTGTGTGTGTGTGTGTGCGCGTTTGTGCGCTTGTGTGTGTGTGTGTGTGTTTCACATTCTTCTCTCAGTCTGGTTCAGTCCTCCTACAGTTTCATAAGGTCTTTTAAATTTCTTGATTTTCTTCGAGTAATTTAGATTCAGTTTCAACTCTTAATTTTCAAACAGTCATTTAGGTTCACTTCTTGTCCTTGCTGTCCTGCTCCTGACTCAGTTTTTGCGGTATGATTTGCTACATATTTCTTATATCCCTTGAACAGATTCCCTGAGCCTCTCTAAATTTCTGATTAAACTGTAGGATCTGTTACATTCCTTGTCTTTATATCTGATATGACTCTTCCCTTTGTATATTGGTTTTTTGACTGTTACCTCTATTACCCGGTGCTCAATCTTTTTTCCTTCTACCCTTTCCAATTTCATTTCTCAGAAAATTTATTATGCCTTTGTAGTTCTTTTTTAATTTTTTTTTATGTTTTGTTTCTTATTTAATTTTTTCTCTAATTCTCTTTCCACGTGGTACTCAAAATTTAGTCCTGCATAAGTCCTGGCTCCTATTTGTTCGTCATTTTTTGTTTCAGCTGTCATGTTCTTTTTCAGTGAAAACTTGATTATGTATTGGTTCTGTATAACCCCAGCCGCTCACTCTTGCTGCTTCAGTTACGTGATGGCTCAGAAAATTCCTCGTTACTGCTTTCTTATGTTAAGCTTCATGTTTTGTTCTGGTCCTCCATGGGAGTCCTTGTTTTCCCATTCGATCTACTTAGCCTTGAAGTGTTTAGCTATATTTATTCTTCCTCTCTCATTCTACCATTGTTACCAATATGTGAGTCATCACCATGTAATTCTAGGTATATAAATATACCTAGCTGGATGAATCTTGCCTCGAATTCAAGCCCCATCCGTACCGTAATCATTTTCCTTTTCTCTCCTTACAGTTTGATGGTGCTCTGGGAATATCGTCCTTATTATTATACATAAGAGGTTCACCACATTAGTAGCTATTGCATCAGATACTAATTAAGCATCTCTATTTTTTCTTGATTTCATGTGTTGTGATGACCCCAACTGAATTTGAGTACCATAATCTGATTTTTCTGTCTGTTACTGCTCTTTGATCATACTGTTTTCTTACTTCGTTTCTGAGTATACTGAACAAGGAGCCACTTTGGAGTGTTGAGTGTATTTCTTGCACTCCTTCTCCACTCTTGATCAACCCCAAAAAGTTTTCTGTTTTTTTTTTCTGCCCCTCTGTGAGTGTGCATACTAATCTGTATATACTCACCTATATGTAGTTGCAGAGGTCGAGTCACACCTACGGCCCCGCCTCTTCCTTGGTCACTACTAGGTCTACTCTCTCTCCCTTCCCCATAAGCTTCATCGTATCTCTTCTTAAAGATATGTATGGATTCACCCTCCACTACATCACTCTCCAGATTGTTCCACTTAATGGAACTCTCTGACAGAAGAAATACTTTCTAACATCTCGGTGATTCATCTGAGTTTTCAACTTTCAATTGTGACCCCTTGTTGCTGTGTCCCATTTCTGAAATATTCTGTCCCTGTCCACCTTCTCAATTCTTCTCGGTATTTTACATGTCGTTATCATGTCCCCTTTATCCTTATTGTCCTCCATTCTCGTCATTTTAATTTCCCTTAACCTTTCCTCGTTGGTCATACCCCTTACTTAGCTCTGGGACTAGTCTTGTTGCAAACCTTTGCACTTTCTCTGATTTGTTGACTTGTTTGATCAGGTGTGGGTTCCAAAATGATGCTGCATACTCCAATATGAGCCTGACATACACAATGTACACTGTACAGTATCTTGAATGGCTCCTTATTTAGATATCAATACACTATTCTTAGGCTGTCAGGCTCCCCTATGCTGCAGGAGATGCTTGGTTGATGTGTGCCTCAGGAGATGTGCTCGATATTATGCTTACCCCAAGATCCTTCTCCTTGAGTGAGGTTTTGCAGCACTAGGCTACACTCCGTCTGCAGTCTTCTTTGTCCTTCCCCAAACTTCAGGATTTTGCATTTGCTGGGGTTAAATTCCAGGAACCATTTGTCAGACCAAGCTTGTAGCCTTTCCAGATCAGATCACCTTGCAAGCTTACCTAATCCTTGTTCACTGGATTCTTCTCATTAGTTTTACATCGTCTGCAAACATGGACACATCTGAATCTATCCGTTCTGTCATGTCAGTCACAGCACTGGACCCAGGACTGACCCTTGGGGGGCCCCACTCGACACAAGCACTCACACCTCGTCGTGTACCCGAACACGTTGTTTCCTTCCTGTCAGTACTTTCTCTGCTCTTCCTTCCTGTTCCTTTAGCTGTTCAACCAGTCTCTTGTGTGCTATTGTTTTGAGAGCCAAACTTCTCTCTCCTGTCTTACTTCTGTTACCTTATGTATGTTTTATCAAGTTGTGTTGGCATGTTTGTATGTCTCAATCAGCTGTGTTGGCATGCATATTCTTTCCTAATTATGATTACACTATTTTCTTTCATTCATTAGCTATGATTATTATAAGCTTACAGTCACAACTCTTCCTGGTGTGATGGACACTCACAGCCTTCTCCACCATTAGCAAATTGGTTATGCTTCTGCAATATTTTAACGTATATCGTTCCACATTCCATTCATTTACATTAATTTGGTAAAGAATATAGTTTGTGTCAACTACATTGAGTAATTCATCTCACCTGAGTTTACTAGGAGAGCTGTCGCTGTCAACGACTGTGATGATCTCTGGCGTCAGAGTTTTGGTAGTGCCAGCAGCCAACCTCAACACCTTACCAGGTGGTAGCTGCAGTGTTGGAGCGTCGTTCCTGGCGATAACACGCACTGGCAACACAAACCGGTGACGAGACTGTCAATGAAAAGTGAAACAATTACATAAAATGATTAACAGAGGTCGTAATAAATAAGAAAATTAGTAATTGAGACAATATGGCAAGATTAACATAGGAAAGAGAAATGGGAGAGCCAAGAGGATGGGTTCAAATCCTCTGGTGATCTAAGAAAAAATATTTATTACTTAGGTAAAATTGCGTGTGTACTCACCTAGTTGAAGTTGCAGGGATCGAGTCCTAGCTCTTGGCCCCGCCTCTTCACTGGACGCTACTGGTGTGTGTGTGTGTGTGTGTGTGTGTGTGTGTGTGTGTGTGTGTGTACTCACCTATATGTACTCGCCTATTTGTGATTGCAGGGGTCGATTCATAGCTCCTGGCTCCGCCTCTATGCTGATCGCCACTAGGTCCTCTCTCTCTGCTCAATGGGCTTTATCAAACCTCGTCTTAAATCTATGTATGGTTCCTGCCAACACTACGTCACTTGGTAGACTATTCCCTTTCCTGACTACTCTATGGCTAAAGAAATACTTCCTAACATCCCTTTAACTCATCTGAGTCTTCAGCCTCCAATTGTGACCCAATGTTTCTGTGTCACTTACACATAACCACTGTCTTTGCAATTGGATGGTTAAAATCTCTCACATGAATAAATAGAGTATGGGAGAACCAAGTAGTTTTGACAATAATATATTTCCTTTGGTTTATATAAATTAGATCCATTCATAATTAATAGAATTTGGGAAGAGTTAATAATACATTGGACAAAATTTTTAATTCTTGGGTAGAATAGTTTGTTGGTGGGTTGTGTGAAGGACCTGTTTAGTTGGGCCAGCAGGCCTGCTGTAGTGTTTCCTTTCTTATGTGTTGCGTATCAGGTGTTACTTTGTTGTGGAATGTGATAGTGAGGTGTGGGCTAGACCCTTTATATGCCTTCCTTTGATGCATTACTTTTATTGTTCCTTGATAATGTGAGTAGTCACGAAAGCGCTTGGAATTTCTGTATTCTTTCACAGTGGTTGTTTTGTATATTCTGAAATCACCTGTTTACTGTGATCTTATTGCATTAATGGATACCACACGACTCTTCACAATGTTCTCAATAAGCTTTCCTAATCACATTTCTTTTGTTTCCCAGTTTTCTTCTGCACTGATCAAGTCTCACAAGTTATAAATTCGATTTAATTTTTGAAAAAAATAAAAAAATTTTTTTAAATGAACAAGTTGTGCCCAAGTCTGTTTTAGCCAATATCATCCTTGACATGAGAGATCGTCCTCTTGATGATTTTTTGAGAATTATTCTTCAGAAACATATTGAAATAACTAAAATACAGGAGAAGGAAGCATTCAAAATATTGAGAAACAAAAAATTCTCTTTTAATCAGGCCATTCCATCAGAATGGAAACACAGTATGTTGGATCATTGCTATAATAAACTCAGAAGAATTTGTAATGAACTCAAGAGCAAACTACAAAGAAAATTAGACATTTTAATTGAAAATAGTGATTGGACAAAGCATGCTAATAACAATTTTGTAATTAACTTATCAGATGAAATTTTAGATAAAAATACAACTGCTGCTCTAGGTTTTGGCCTAAGTTTTGCAACTTAAAAAAAAATTAATAATATTGAAATTGCAAAAGCCTTTTGTAACTTTGAAAAATTTCTGATTTATCCACTGATGAAATTAACATTAGTAAGGGAATGGTATATAACTCTATGTTAAAACCAAACATTCCCAATTGCCCTCAAAGATTCTTTAAGTCCTATGATATACTTAATAACAATAAAAATTTGATCCTTACACAAGACAACAAAATAAATGCAGTAGTAATTTTGAAAGAAAATGATTACCAAGAAAAAATTAATAATCTCTTAGATGATACTGAAACCTATTCTAAACTTAGAAAAAATCCCCTAGAAACAGTTAACAGCAATTTCAATAAAACAATAAAACTTCTACTGAAAGGCAAAGATGAATTAGTCAAACAATTTACTTCCACTAATCCATCTTTACCTAACATGTATGGACTAATAAAAACACACAAACCAGGGAATCCAGTCAGACCAATTATTAGCTCCATAGGGTCAGTTTCATATAAATTATCCAAATGGCTTGTTGATATTTTGAGCCCTATTGTTGGTAAAATTTCTAACTTTAATGTTGTAATAAAGTTGGTAGAATTACCGAGAGTGTGAACACTGAAACAAGCTGCCTCTTTCCAGTCTATATTTGTCCAACCTATTTTTATGTTACCCAAGTAATAGCTTTTATATCCTTTTACTCATGTACGAATTAATTGCTCTACCATATTGTATTACTTTTGTCACTACCACTACTACTACTACTACCACCAGTGAACATCGAAATGGTACCTCACTAGTATTGACCTCACTCTGAGCCTTTATATACCCTCTGTGTCCATGTATTGTTTGTAATGGCTTGATAAAGCTCCTGGAGAGCGAAACGTTGCCACAATAAAATGTCACATTAGTTGCATTTGTGTCCTTTTAACTTTAATGTTAAAAACAACATAGATTTAGTTGATAAATTAAGCTCCTTGACTGACTTAAATGATTTTAACATGGTTAGTTTTGATGTTACTTCCTTGTTTACGCAAGTTCCTGTTGATGATTTATTAAGTTTCTTATCTGAAGAACTCGTTAATTATGATTTACCATTGCCAGTTCCTACTATCATTAAGCTTATTAAACTTTCCATTGTTGATGCAAAATTTGTATTTAATGATAAGTTTTACACTCAGAAGTTGGTATGGCAATGGGAAATCCTCTTTCACCTGTTCTTAGTAACCTATACATGGATTTTTTTGAAACAAAGCTGCTTAATGCAATCCTCCCTAATAGAGCTAAATGGTTCAGATATAGTTCAGTGTTGTGAGAATGGTATAGCACTGCGTACCTTGTTCCAAGGTTTGTAGGTTCGAGTCTCCTTCAGCCAGAGATCAGTGTTTGTGTATATTTCGCCTGCTCTTGCGAATTCCTTGCTTTGTTAAAATCTCTAGTAAGGCTGATGCATGCAGGGGATGAGATGAAAAGCTGTAAGCCTTCTCCCTGAAAGCTGGCAGCCTTGGATCAAACGTCTAGCGCAAGCTGGACGCCAAGGTATTGGTCCATTGTGGTGAGAATGGTATAGCACTGCGTACCTTGTTCCAAGATTCGTAGGCTCGAGTCTCCTTCAGCCAGAGATCAGTGTTTATATATATATATTATTATATATATATATATATATATATATATATATATATATATATATATATATATATATATACAGAGAGAGAAAGAGACCAATGGAATGATAAAACAAGTGATTTTGAATCATTTACCAAACTGAGGCAGGACAGGGCTCCACCCCCCGACACGTTGTCCTGCCTCAAGAGATATAACACAACATACATGTTACCTTACCACTAAGTCAGTAATCCTACAAAGATCACGCATCCAGCAGAGGTAGATGTTTTTCTCGTGATCTGAAGACACTTGTGGCTGTGGTATTTCAAGGATTAATTTCAGCCTCCTGTTTGAATACCCGCTGGCTCAGTGGTAATGTGAAATATACAGTCTGTTGCCTCTTGAGATGGGACATTGTGTCGTGGGGTCGAGCCCTGGCTGCCGCAGTTCGGTAAATGACCAAATATCGTGACTGGAACAATACACAAATAATCCGCACATTGGAAAGATGAGTTTACGACGATGTTTCATGTTTCGTCCAACTTGGACCGACTTTGTAAATGGTCCAGTTCGGACCAAAACGTCGCAGTAAGCTCCTTTTTTCCTATATACGGGTTATTTGTGTATGGTAACTCATTATACATTAGGCATTGTTTCACATATCCTGGAGCACAAGACTTGTATTATTTTATCTCATCCTGGTGATCCAGGGCACTGGAAGACAATGCCCAGTATACAGTAGGTGCCCTTATTTATCTGGGGAGAGACTTTAAGCCCAAAATAGATATTTCCCTAGCCCGTTGCACTGACCACTACACATTCCTAGCTACTTTATGGAATGCAATCTTTTCCAATTCTGTTTTCTGGTTTTGCCTTCTCTTTTTTTTATTTGTTTTGTCTTTCATCACCTTGTTCTTTTCGTGTTCCTTTATAATATTCTTCTTTTTTCATTCCTTCCCAAATTTCTCCACCAACCTGGGAAACTTCTCGTAAGAATTTCCCGAGAGAACTGCTTCAGAAATTAAGAGCAGCTGTAACAACTCCCACCAACAATACCATCAACAATAAGATAAAAATATTAATGTTCACTCTGGAAATAGTCTGTTTATGCTTAGATCCATTTCAAAACCTATGCCAAAGTATCGGAAAAATCATAATGTACGTTGATAACTTTTTCGGAGAATGAGTGAGCCTTGATCCTATAATTATTTTTATTATTACTGTAATCATAACTAAGCGACAAACCCACAAGGGTCATACAGCGTTCGATTCTATAATAATTCACTTGTCATTGGAACAAATTAATGAATTACAGAGCACATGTCACTGAATGACAATGTTAGTGGATTTTCAGAGCTGTATTCTCCATTAGTTTCCGTTTCAAACATAGCATTGCAAACCGGGTATGCAAAATGGGTATTTTAAGTTGGTTGCAATCTTGCATTTTTTTCGATTTCCAAGACAAAGGAAACCTGGTATAAAACTCCATATATAGCTTCCATGGTATCCTGAGCTCCTGCGTCTTCCTCGTCATCGTCTTATAAATCTGAGTACAACTTACAATCTATTTTGAAAATCATTTCTCGTTAACGATCCATAATTCTATCAAATATTTTTAATTTAATTTACTGAAAATTTCGTGTATTTATGTTTCATTTTAAGGGACACAGAAGAAACACTTTAAGGAGTTCAGTTTTATTTATACAAGAATTATTTTCAGTAAATATTAGTGTACATTATACTATTTATTTAACCAAATTTCTACACAATTCATTAAAACTAAGATTTTTGGGTTGCAGCTGTGACTTGTCTACAACAAGTCCGGCTTTG